CTAGAGCCTGTCTTGTGTGGGATTTCTCCTTCTGCCTGGCTCCTGAGCTAGTGGGGACGCTGTCTGCTCTGTGATACAGAGTCCTGATGACTCCTAACTTGTGCTCCAAAGGGTGATGGGAGTCAAACTGCAAATACTGGTCTGTGTGGGTGGGTTTGCGGTACACCTCAGTTTGCAAATGTCCTCTATCAGAGACTGAGACCTCACAGTCCAAGAAAGCCAACTTGCCATTTTTTACATCTTCTCGTGTGAACTTGATGTATTTATCCACAGAGTTGATGTGGTCAGTAAAATGTTGGACTTCCTGAGATTTAATTTTAACCCAGGTGTCGTCAACATACCTGAACCAATGACTTGGTGGTGTCCCTGAAAAGGACGTCAAGGCTCTCTTTTCTACCTCCTCCATGTACAGGTTGGCAACAATAGGAGAAACTGGAGACCCCATAGCACACCCATGTTTCTGCCTATAATATTGCTCCCCATATGTGAAGTAGGTTGACTGCAGGCACAGTTTCAAGAGTTGACACAGTTGTTCTGTGGAAAGCGTGGTCCTGCTGCTCAGAGGGGTGTCTGATTTTAATCTTAAACTGACCACCTCTACTGCATCATCAACAGGAATGCACGTAAAGAGTGATGTGACATGAAAAGAGACCATTGTTTCATCAGTCTCCATGATGACATCCCTCACCTTATCCACAAAGTCCATGGTGTTCTGTATGTGGTGTTCTGAGCTGCCAACTAAAGGGATGAGTACAGACGCCAGATATTTGGAAACATTGTAAGTGACAGAGTTAATCATGCTAACAATAGGTCTTAAAGGTACACCTTGTTTGTGGATTTTAGGTAAGCCATACAGACTAGGTGTGGCCTCCCCTGGGTACAGTCTGTGGTACAGAATACGGTCAATAGCCTTGTCCTGCTCCAAAATTTTCAGGCAATCTATCAATTTCTTCTTGTAACCACTTCCTGGATCTCTTTTCAGAGGTTCATAAGTGTTTAAGTCACTAAGGAGTGTCATAACTTTCTCATGATAGTCTTTCTGGTTCAAAATCACTGTGCACCTTCCTTTGTCTGCTGGGAGAATGATGTTTTTGTCCTTGCTAAGAGTGGTGAGTGCATCCCTCTCCTCTCTACTGATGTTGGAAGGTGGTGGTTTGGCATTGCTGAGGCAGGATGAAACTTTGATTCTGAGCTGTTCTGCTTCAGCCTCTTTCATTTTGTTGTTGCGGATGACTGATTCTGTGGCTGTGATCATCTCCACCAGAGGAATTGTACTTGGTGCAACCGCAAAGTTCAGTCCCCTGGCAAGAATCTCTGTCTCAGGCTGGGTGAGCTGTCTGTCAGATAAATTCTTCACCCACTTTTCTGTCTCCCTGGCATGTAATTGACTACTGGAGTGTTGTCCTACACTGAATGTGTTGTTATTGGAATAATGATGGTGTTGATCAGTTATTAGTAAGTTAAACTTGTTTTGTTGTCGAGTCTTGGACTTGACATGCTGTGCTAAGCGTGCCCTTTGTTTTTTTGAATGTCCAGAGGACCAGTTTGAACTTTTTTGGATTTTTCCACCTGGATTATTGAGCATGCATCAGGATACTATATTAATAAGTTTGATTAGGTGAAAAGAACAGTTAGTGTAGAAAGACCATGCAAGTGAACAGCAGATAAACAGAGCAGAATATTTCTCTCTGTGATTCTCTTTAAATATTTTGAAGCACTACCTTTTTAACACACACTTAGAGCTCAGGAGAATTATTTTTCCATCTACAGTTTCTGATGCCGGCCATATTCCAAAAAAGTTCCACCTTTTTTTTTTCTTCTTGAAACTCAGGTGGGTTGTTAATTTGAGTTTTATCTCTCTCTGAGGTCTATTTGGATTGCATAGTTTTAAGTAAGAGCACAGAAGGAAAGAGAGCGCCCACTCAAAGCAAAAATGTAGATTTATTCTACTGTGTGTACTGAAAGGTCACTTTTTCTAGGAAACACATGATCGTGATCCATGATCAAATATTCTGTTTTATCTTGCCTTGACAAAACAGAGCAGACTCATTTGTCTTGTGGTGGGCGAGAATAATCAGAATGACAAGGGTGACAGCATGTTGCATGGTAAAACAGCAGCACTGCTCAACATCTCCACCCATCAATGGCACATTAATATTTATGGGGAAAAATAAAATAAAGAAACATGTTCAGATTGAACAGTAGACTTCTTTAACATATTTTGGTTTGTCATGAGCCATGTCCAACAAAAACACATGTATGGCTCAAATACATCTGACTGTGGATGTGCACATAAAAAACTACAAACACTACGGATGCAGGGTTGCTAAAAACATTCCAATGCCCAGTTCATACAAATTAAACAAATACTGAGTAGAAGTCATCTGACCAGAACTTCCTTTATGTCACAACAACTAGACAAGCAAGTACTAATACACAATAACAGTACTGTTAGATGGAATCAGTTATTAATTTGATTCGACCAAAACTGTGAGATTATATTAGGGTTCGCCCCCTTAAAATGTTGCTAGGATGACATCATAAATATCTTGTCCATAAAAGACAGACATCTAAATAAAAAGGTTAGTAAGCTCCATCATCCAGGTAAATAACAACAAAAAAGGTTAAATCATGTCATTGGGACCAGTTTCTTTAAGTGAGAGACATTTCTCACTTAAGGTCGTTTTTCACACCTGATAGTCCAGTAGACTTGGTTTAATTGGGGACCAAAATTCAGAACATTTGTTTACATTGTCAGCTGGTGCGGTTTGCATTCACACTGCACTGAGTCAATGGAGGGGACCTGTCCCCCCCCCCCCCCCCCCCTCGCCTGTGGTGGCGCTGCACCAAGAGCTACTGAAGGAAACTCTAAAAAAGTTCTATCTGGTCCTCTGGACATTCAAAAAACAAAACAAAGCAAAAAAAAAAAAAAAAAATGTAGAAATGTTTTGTCTTTCACCGAGAGACTTCCTCAGTCTGAGGTGCTGTATTCAGCTCAGTCTCTTAAATAGCACCTTCTCAGAGTGGATCAACCAGTTTGCTGCTGACAACCAAAACCAGCTGCTCACATGCTCAAGAAGAACCATTGGCCTAACGGTTTTTAGGAGGACCACAGTTCACTTTTTTGTTCTGTATTAGAGTTTGACTGCGCATTCACACCTCCCCAAACGAACCGGACTTTCTAGGCAAATGGACTAGAGTTCAATTAAAGCGGACTAAACAGGGCTGGTGTGAATGCACCCTTAGTAGCAAGTTACGTAGTAGCAAGTTGGCCATCTGGCCCAAAACATGTGACTGCTGTTCATGATGACTGATTGTTTTGGATAGGTGTGCTCTGTTTGCAGGTGTTTAACGCCTACTTCTGAGATTCCAACAGGAGATTGTCTTGAAACACAGCAGTGAAGGCTACCTATGGGACAGATCTGGTTGGCAGGCCGTAGACTGAGTAAGTCCTCTGGATGGAGGATGAGACGTTTCTCACTTCACGAAACAGGTCCAGATGACACGATTTAACCTTTTTTGTTGTTATCTAAATAGTTTGTGAACTGCCTTCTGAATGCATTTCGTTTAATAATGTCATTATATATACACTGCTGATGCACTTTTAGCAATGATGAACTCCTATAAAAACACTGAACAAAGACAGCAATGTTTACAATGACTGTGTGGTGTGTTTAAAGTATAACTAGTGTAACTTTAGAAGAAGATAAGCATTGCCAAAACAGAACTGTTTACAAGTATTTAGGACTTGAGTCCCCTACTGTTGGATTGTGTAGGCTGATTTATTGAGTTGACAGGGAGACAAAAAAACATAGATACAGAGGAAAGTTACTTTCACATTAAACTATTTCCTTTGAATTAACAACACAAAGTGTAAGTTTACATCATCCTCTGCTCAGGAGATATGCTCCCTGAAGAACCCTGCATACTCCATCCGAACCAGCGAAATTGGCTCTCATTGGCGTAGCTGCATGACGAAAATCGTGTCAATTTGTTCCAAGAGTTGCATCGCCCACCACTTCTCGACACAAGGCCCGGGACAAACTTTTTCCTCACAGGAGTATGTACAAACTAATGTGTGATTGGTCAGAAGTTTGTGAGAGTGTTAGTTAATGCAGAAAAGTGCTCAGACATTCATTTGTACGACTCTTCAACACACACTTACAAAGATATTCAAATGGCCAAAAACTCCTGGATGGAGATAGTGCAGACATTGTGTGCAGAGGAGTGTGTCTGCAGAGTGCCTCTTTCTTCATGACAGGTTTGTGGCCAAGCGATGGCTGAAGGGATAGAGGGGAGACCCTGGCGGGAAGAAACCCATGCCGTGGCGTATAGTGAAGTGGAAGGGGTTTCCCAGGACCTCTGTGCCATGTGTCCATTGGACTACGAAAGGTGTGAGCGAAAACAAATGTCCCACAGTCATGTGACCGCATGTCGACTGTTCGGCTTTGGATGGAGTATGCAGAGCCCTTTAGAGCCCCCTCCCAATAACAGCTCATTCCGTGAGCAATAAAGTGTGTCTTACCTGGTCAAATGCTGGAAATATGTAGTCGGCAAACTGGATCTCAGCTATGGCTGTGGCACCAGCAGTAGCAGCACCAATGCCAAATCCCACAATTCCTTGCTCACAAAGAGGAGTGTTGAAGACTCTGTCTTTGCCTGGAAAGCCATACAACAGTGAGGGGGGAAAAAAGACATTGAGATCATACAACCACAATAAAACATAGTATACTATTTTTATTCTAGTTTGACATATCAGGTCATAATAAAAATTATTTGATCTTTATGGCCTCTGACAATGGACAGGCATCTACACTGGTCCTGTTAGACCTCAGTGCTGCATTTGTTTTTCATTCAACCTTTATTTATACAGGTTAATCCCATTGAGCCTCGGGGACTCATGTACAAGAGAGACCTGATTTGATTCAGTTAATCACAATATTTTACTACAGAGACTTGAATATGAAATTGGGATTACAGGAACTACTCTAAAATGGTTTAAACTTTACTACTTATTAAATACTACCTACTTATTTGATAGATTACAGTTTGTAAATGTAAATAACGAATCTTCTTCATAAGTTAGTCGTGCAGTTCCTCAGGGTTCAGTGCTTGGACCAATATCCTTTACTTTATATATGTGTCCATTACGTAAAGTTATTAAACAGCATGGGATAAATTTTCATTGTTATGCTGATGATGATACCGAAACATGAAACCCAATGAATCCAATCAGGTATTTAGATTACAAACATGTCTTAAGGACATACAGTAAAAACCTGGATGAGCCTTAGGTCGTTTTCACACCAGATAGTCCAGTAGACTCAGTTCGGTTGAGGACCAATATTCATGAGCTTTTGTTTACATTTGAGCTGGTGCGTTTGTATTCACACTGCACTGTGCAGTTGAGTCAACCTGTTGAACCAACCTGTTCCCCCCCTTCGCCTGTGGGGGCGCTGCACCAAGAACTACTGAAAGAAACAACACAAAAACCTCTGAAGACACTTCTTCTTCTTCTTCTGGAAATAAAAACAAAAACGGAGTGGCGTCAAGTTTTAGCGGTTTTAGGAGTTATATTTCGTCATTTTTCAAAAATGGACTCAGCATGAGCAGAAGATGAGACAGAAGACCATGGAGAATATTGTTTTTCACACAAGGCAGCTGACGGCTCCATATGAGGTAAGAGAAATGCGTGCTTGTTTGCCCTGCGCTGTACTCCACTTCCTGCTTGTGAAGCGGTGCCCGGTCTGCTTACATTCACACTGTACTTTAACCGCGCTGGAGTTTTCTTCTACCGGACTGAGACCTAGGTTTTTAGGAGGGCCAGAGTTCACCTTTTTGTTCCATGACAGAGTTCGATGGCACGTTCACACCTCCCCAAATGAACCGGACTTGATAGGAAAATGGGCTAGAGTTCGGGACAACAGGGCTGGTGTGAATGCACCCTTAATTTTCTGCTTTTAAACTCAAATGAGACAGAGGTTTTGGTTTTTGGACCTGAGCATCTTAGGAAGAAACTTTGCAGTCTTTCACTTCCTCTGGATGGCATTAATTTGGCCTCCAGTTCTAATGAAATAAATAAATAAAAATCTTGGTGTTATTTTGATTAGACCATGTATTTTAATCCCCACATTAAAAAAGTGACCAGTACTGATTTCCTCCACCTATGTAATATCAATAAAATTATAAACTTCTTGTCCAAAACCAGATGCAGAAAAACTGGTTCATGCATTTGTCACATCTAGACTGGACTATTGCAATGGTTTATTATCTGGGTGTCCAAATACTTTTTTTAAAAAGTCTTTAGTTGGCCCAAAATGCTGCTGCCAGAGTTTTAATGAGTCAGTAGGAGAGATATATCTCCAGTTTTAGCTTCTCTACAAAGACTCACTGTCAAATTCAGAATATAATTCAAAATATTACTTCTAACCTACAAAGCCCTCAACAACCTAGCTCTATCTTATATTACAGCTCTTACTGTCCATATTTTCCTAACAGAGCACTTTGCTCTCAGACTGCAGGTTTACTTGTGGTTCCTAGAGTTTCCAAAAGCAGAATTGGAGGAAGATCTTTCAGTTATCCGGCTCCTCTCTTGTAGAACCAACTTCCAGTTTCTGTCCGTGAGGCTGACACATTATCCAGTTTTAAGACTTTCCTTTTTGATAAATAGTTAGGATTATCTTGGGTTTCCTGAACTATCCCTTAGTTATAGGTTTAGACTGCTGAAGGACAAACTGACCACAGTTTCTCCCTCCGATGCCGTCTTTACTTGCTCTACTCAACCTGTTTGTATTTGTAATTATTTCTATCAATGTTTTTTTTTTGTCTTTCTTCCAAAAGAAAGTAAATCTGGACCTGTCATTCTGTGTTTGTTTCTTCTTCTGGACCTCTCAAACCCAGCCAGTCGAGGCAGATGGCTGCTCATCCTGAGCCTGGTTCTGCTGGAGGTTTCGTCCTGTTAAAAGGGAGTTTTTCCTTTCCACTGTTGCCATTGTACTTGCTCAGGATGGGAGACTGTGATGAAGTGAAGATTCAATGCTATCTGTTGCTTCCTTAGATAGAGAACTTTACTAATTGGCTTTTATACTGTATATGAATGTTTTTGTACAGCGCCCTGAGACGACTTCTCTTGTGACTTGGCGCTATATAAATAAAGTGAATTGAATTTAATCTTTACCAGAATCTTAAATATTTTCAATCATCATTTATTAACAAAAAATAAACAAAGGTTATAAGGTCATTTCTAAACAGTTTGGAATCCATCATTTTACAGCAGAGTTCCCAACATTTCATGAAAATTAAATTCTCTGAGTTTTTCCAACACCCCCCGAGTAAATCCTGAAATTCCAGGCGATATTTGAGTCATGCAAAATACTCAGAATGGTCTTAGGTGGCAGGCAGAGTCACATTCAGAGACGACAGTAAGTATACTGTAGCCTAAGGTATGTGCATACAGCAATCGTTCCTAATAATAAACCATATTTTAAAACATCAGATACTAAAAAAACACAAAAGCCAACCAGTAAAGATACATACTATGTACACTGTAGAAGCAGAACATGGACTCAATTATACTAGAGTGCTAGCAGTAATACGTGTACATGTCAAAATCTCAGAAAGATCATCTTTTAGTCAGCAGATCAGTTCAAATTCCCCAAGTTTTCTCTGACTTTTTAATGCTTCTTTTTCTCAAATCCCCTGGGTTTTCCCTGTCTACAAAATATGAATGCTATTTCCATGTTTTCCTTGATTTCCTGAGTTCCCCTGTACAGAAAGAAAAAATATTCACAATTGGAAAACATTTCAAGATAGCTGCCAATCTGCTCAGAAGTGGGCGTCCTAGCAAAGTAACAGCAAGGTACGACATTGTAATGTTCTGGGAAATTAGCTCCATCTCAGACTCTAGAGGCCTCAGACAGCAGGTTAAAGGTTCATGATAGGACCATTAGAAGAAGACGGAACTAGTATGGTTTGTTAGGAAGTATTCACTCTTCTTTCTCAAAAAAATGGCAGCAGGACTTTGGTTTATAAAGTAATATTTAATGAACCACGTGACTTGTGAAACAGTGTTCTTTGAACAGATGACCATGAGGCCAAAGTAGAGATGTTTACCCATAATTCACAGCTCCACGTTAGTAAAAAACCAAGCAGCATTTTAGCACAAACACCTCATACCAGCTCTCAAGCATGGTGGTGGAGAGGCATGATTTGAACTTGTTTTAAGCCACAGAAACTGGGTCGTTTGTCTGTCAAAGGAAGCTAGAGTCAAATGTGAGGTCGTATTACCGAAAGCTGAAACCTGACACAACCTGGGACATAATACAACAGGACAATGACCCCAAACACAGCAGCTAATCTACAAATAGAACAGCTCAAAAAGAAAAGAATCAAGTGCTGCAACGGTCCAGGTAAAGTTCAGAACCTTAGCCTGACTGAAATGTGTTTGAACCTTAACAGAGCTGAGCAGAAACAAAAGTCTGCAAGCCTCAACCAACTGAGGCAACGCTGTAAAAAATAATAATTAAAAATATATATTGGGAAAAAATTCCTCTACAACCATGTGAGGGACAGACCATGTCATACAGAAAACAACTGCTGAGAGTTATAGTTGCTAAAGATGCTTCTACAAGCTGTTGAATCACAAAGAGGACTTTTTGTTGGTGTGTTTTAAAAAACTTTTTGGGTTTTTGTTTAACAACAGATATTTGATAAATGATAAATAATGTTAAGGGAAAAAATGTTGGGTGTGTTTGTACACTTGAGGCTAAATTTGAATAATTTTAGAACCTGGTAAAGACCAGAACATTTATATTAAGACGTGATACGTAAAACCCAAAATTTGAAAGAGGGCAGTTATTTTTTATTCCCATGACTGAGGACAGACACACCCAGCAGCAATTTATTCAGGAAATAAAAACAAATGCAAGTTCTGAAAACTTTTCTGTTTAACATGAAATAATCATTTCTGCATAGATCATTAAATACATTGTTCATTTAGGAAGCCAAGAAGAACTATAAAAATCAGAAGTGCTGCTCAGACATATTTTGAACTGGACTGATGAGGCTTCAGATCATAATCTTTGGATGAACGTCATGCAGCGCTTTAATAAATGAAGCGACAAGTTGATGATTCTTACTGAACTGCAGTCAACCAGTGATTTAGTCACACAACCCCCACGGAGTCGAAACAGAAGAAAAAAATTCCATTCTCCACCCTATAATCTGAGAAAGAACCACAAGAGTGGGAAACTAAAACTGGGTTGTGAATGTTATTTTTGCTCTCATCTTTGTGTATTTGCCAATCCCGACTTTTTCTGCTCCTTTGGGAAGTTTGCTGTGAAATTGTGCCCTTATGTGCCCTCTGCGAGTCTGCGCTCACAAAGTTCAACCGGCAAACACAGCGCCGCAAATCCTTCAGAGGAAGGAGCCATTAATCAGGAGCAATCAAGAATTTAATTGCCTGAAGCGAACTCTAAATATGAACCACGTAAAAGTTACAGTGAAGAACGTGCTGTCATGGTCTTAACATATAACGCAAATGAAAATTTAACATAATTTGTGCTCAAGTTTGTGCGTCAGCTTATTGCTTTTCTAAAATGCAATTTTAGATGATGGGTATGAAGGGTAAGATGGGGAAGAAAAAAGAAAAAGAAAACAAA